GTTTAATCTCCATATATTTGTGGTTTTTCCTGCTTTCTTTTTGCAGTTGATATCCAATTTCAAAGCCCTGTGATCAGAGAATAGGCTTGGTACAATTTTAATCTTCTTAAGTTTGCTGAGGCTAGTTTTATGTCCCAATATAGGGTCTAACCTTGACAATGTTCCATGTACACTAGAAAATAATGTATAGTCTGATGTTCTAGGTTGCAGTGTTCTATAAATGTCAATTATGTCCATATTTCGAATGTGTCATTTAGGGGTGATATTTATTTCTTTATTTTTTCTTTGGGTGATCTACCCATAGCTGTCAATGATGTATTTAGGTCCTCTACTATAATTGTGTTTTGGTCAATTTCTCCCTCAAGTTCTGTTAATCGTTGCTGTGTATATTTCAGTGCTCTGATTGGGGGCATAAATATTGATGACTGTTATGTCTTCTTGTTATATAGTTCTTTTTATCATTATGAAATGTCCATCTTTGTCTATTGCTACCTTTTTTATCCTGAAGTCTTTTTCATCTGATATTATAATATGGGTCCACCTGTTTTTCTCTGAATACCATTTGTTTGGAATGTCAATTTCTGCCCTTTCACTTTGAGTCTTTAATGTCCTTGTAGCTGAGATGTGTCTCTTGTAGGCAGCATATGGTTGGGTTTAGTTTTTTGATGCGGTCTGCTACTCTGTTTTTATTGGTGAGTTCAGTCCATTTATATCTAGGGTGGTTATTTACATATGAGGATTTCCTATTTTTCTATGTTTGGTTTTCTGGTAGGACAGTGTCTCCATTAATTCTTTGCTGTTTTATTGCTGTCTATTATTTTAGTGCGGTGGTATTCTGATTTTCCCCTTTGTTTCTTCTTTTTTTATGTTATATATTTCAGTTCTGGATTTTTTTGGAGTGGTTACCATTAAGTTTATGTAAAAGAATGTTTCATATTTAGAGTATTTCATTTTCTTCAGCATGCTTCCTTTCTCCATTCCCTTGTGCTTGTTCAGACCTTTACTCTCTCCCCTTTTATGATTTTGTTGTTACGAATTATCCCTTTTTGTGAGTAGTTTTCTGCGCTGCAGTAGCAAGTTATCTTTTTCCTATTTTTAAGTGTTTTTTTTTTGTTGTTGTTGTTTTTTGCCCTGTATTTTATGTTTAAGTGTATAGTGTCCTATTTATTGTATGGGTTTTCATTTCTTGCTTCTTTCTGTCTCTTTGTAATACTACTCACGTTTTTGTATTCTTTTGCTTTTTTTGTTTCAGTTCGAATAGCTCCTCTTAGTATTTGTTGTAGTGCAGGTCATGTTAGAAAATTCCCTCAGCTTCTGTATATCTGGAAAAGTCTTTATTCCTTCTTCATATCTAAAGAATATCTTTGCTGGATATATTATTCTTGGCTCATAATTTCTCTCTTTCAATAGTTTGAATATTTGAGTCCACTCCCTCTTGGTTTGTAGCGTTTCTGCTGAAAAATCTGATTATACTCGAATGGGCTTTCCTTTGTTGGTTACCATCTTCTTTTTTCTGGCTGCCTTAAAGATTATTTCTTTGTCCTTAATTTTTGACAGCTTCAATACAATGTGCCTTGGAGAAGGCCTGTTGGGATTGAGGTAATTAGCTGTTCTATTTGCTTCTTAGATTCGAGGATCCAATTCTTCTTTCAAGTTTGGAAGTCCTCGTTGACTATTTGTTTGAATATAGTCTCTGTTCCCTTCTCCCTTTCTTCTCTTTCTGGTATGCCAGTTATTCTTATGTTGCTCTTTCTGATGGAGTCAGAAAGTTCTTGTAGAATTCTTTTACTTTTTTTAACTCTCAAGTCTCTTTGTTCTTCCATCTATATCATTTCCAGATTTCTATCTTCAACGTCACTGATTCTTTCCCTCATCTGGTCAGCTCTATTACTTAAGGTGGCTATTTCATTCTTCATTTCTTTTACTGAGTTCTTAATCTGCAGAAATTCTATTTGGATTTTTTTTTTAATTTCACTCTCTCCAGTAAAATGTTCACTGTTTTTTGTTCATTGTTCTTTGAACATTGTAAAATGTTCTTTGATTGTGTTTCTGAGTTCATTAAACTGCCTGTCTGTGTTTTCTTGCATCTCGAGTTTTTTCAGAACTGCAATCTTGAATTCTCTGTCATTTAAATCATGTATTTCCACGTCTTTAAGCTTATTTTGTAGAGATTTTTCATTTTCTTCTTGAGGTGCCTTGTTACCTTGGTTATTCATGGCAATTAATAAATTATTATTTCTCTTCCTAGGCATCTACAGGAGTGGGTTCTGCAACAGGTTGATAAGAAGAGATCTTTCTTTTGCTTTATAGTAGGTGTTGGTGGAATATTTTATTTTCTTCCCTACTGCAGCCTTTTATTCTCTCTCATGCTTTAGTGTTATATTTTGTCCGCACTGTTTCAGCATATCACACAAAGGGGTGGTTCCATGGAAAGTGGTCTTCTCCTCTGTGAGCAGCTCACCTGGGTTTCAGGGCACCACATACATGAAACAATGTGGAGAGCTTCTGAAGTTCCAAAGCTCTTCCTCCACCAGTTTTAGATCCTGTGTGTTTCAGCAGCTCTGTTTAACCCTGCAGGGATCCACCCAGATAGGTGAGGACAGGGGTAAGGTGGGTTGTGAGAGGTGGCAATGAGCAATGGCAGCAACTACCAGCACAGCCAGTCCTGCAGCAAAGGCTCCCTCCACTTCACCAGAACTAGTTGGGCCTAGATTCTGTGGCTGTGGGGCTGCAGTTCCCAGAACTGCAAATACGTTCTGTTCTTTTGATATGACACTACTACCATTCTGCTTCAGACATTGGGATGGTGAGGAGGGGGGTGGCTAGACTCTGTGCCTATGTCTTCTGCCCTCTGCTTGGCAGTGAGGGCTTAAACCACCATTTTCACCCTTCTTCCCTCAGTCTGCTCCGAGGTCTCTGTCATGAGCATTGGATTTAGCCATGTTATATGCTGATGACTCAGGTGAGACTGTGTGGCATAAGGGGAGTGCTAGCAGTCAGAATTCTTCTCTCTCCCATGACTGCTGTAGCTCCAGAGTCCAGGGAGCTTGGAGCTCCGAGCTCAGGCTTGCATGCAGCCTGTGTCACCACACTTTCCCCCTCTCCTCCCCCGCTCACCCAATTTTCCCACCTTTAGGTGATTTCAATTGCACGTTTCTTAGTCTTGCCTGTCTGCTGTGCATGGAGTACTTTGTGGAATTATAGATGTTCAATTTGTTTTAAATTCCAGGGGAGATATCAAGAGGTTCACCTCATGCTGCCATTTGTATGACATAATCCTTTATTACATGGATTTATTTTTTTTAAATTAAGGTTTATTGGGGTGACAGTTGTCAGCAAAGTTACATAGATTCCAGGTGTGCAATTTTGTAATACATTATCTATATATCATATTGTGTGTTCACCACCCAGAGTCCATCACCATACATTTGATCCCCTTTACCATCACCTACCACCCCCTCACCACTTACATGGATGTCTTTATAGCAGGGGTTAAGTCTTATATCTCAAACATTTTCTCTCTATACAGTAAAAGTTAATAGAAGATAACCCATAAGATTTTGTCTTATAATTGAACAAGAACATTTTAAAGGGCCTTTAATGTATTTAAATTTCTCAAATTACTCCTCGTATTAAGTGATTCCATATTAAAATTGTGTTTGTATTATAATACTTTCTCATTTCCCATCTCCATTCCTTTAGCATTATTTCTCATTGCAGGTTATTAGAAACCAAATAAACACACATGTTGGGTTATCTTGAAATGTCTGAGATAAAAAACACATTTTTGATATTATAGGGTAATAATATCCACAATTTAATAGAAACACTGTTCAATAACACCAGAGTGTACAATGAAAATATAAAAGATAATCATGAACATCAATATACTTGTAGGTTATGATCCTATACTGCTGAAATTATCAGTGCATTCCCTACAAAATATATGTATTTATTTACTTACCATCACCTGTTCTATGACTACTATAAAAACTGGTTATGTGAACGTTTTTATTGTTCACATTTTAAATAAACTAGAATCAACCAAACTTACTTTATTATTCATAATTATAAGAAAATCTAAACCCCTGTTTCTCTACCTTTCTGAATCATATTTATTGTGTCTTCGTGGGTACTTCTGCTTCAATTAGGAAATCACGTTAAACCTGAAAAGAAGTTATTAGTGACTAACCTGGATAGAAATTTAGTTTTCTTACTGTGGTATTCTTTCTATTCATTTTAGGAATAGTGCTTTTACAAAACACATGTTTTCTAAGTTAATTTACATTTTAGACTGCAGAACCACTGAAGCAAGGACATTAATGTTCAGTCAAAATAAAACACCATCCAGAAAAAAGTCAATAGTATTTGCTATCAAGTGGGGGTGACTTTAATCAGGGTGACTCAAGAGCAATATTTTTCTTAAAAGTGGAAACAGTGGCTCATGACTATTTTTTCCTTTACCTTGTCAAACATAGTAACCACACAGTTTGGTGGCCCTTTACCTTGTAGAAATAAGAATACACTTTTTAAAGTCACAGAGTACTATGAATTGTTGGAAAAAAGTTATGTGCTTGATTTTCTGATAGCTTCCAAATAACTACTACTTTAATGAAATTGCTACCTGAAAATTCGGTAGCAGTGCTATTGTTTAACTATAATTTAAGAAGCTATTGTAGATTGGTACTTATGAATTCTAATGAGAAAACCATAACAATCTTTTAATTTAAGGGAAAATGGTTAACCACAGTAATTGCAATCAATAAGACCGTGTTAGTAGTATAAATATTTCTTTTCAAAGAGCATTTCATACTGTCTTTAGCGGTATTTAAGTTTAGGAAGTGAAAAAAAACTAATTAGAAATCCATTTGTTATTTATAATACTAAGTCTTGGTTCAAATTTGTAGGACCCAGAGCTGAGAGAGACTTACCCTGCCCCCCATAAGCAAATCAAGACTTTAATTAAGAAGAAAACTAAGAAATGGAAAAAAAGGGCTTACCAATCACATAGGCTAGTAACAAGGCCAAAGTCACTGTGATTGCCGTGGCGCTCAAGGCTGTACACTTCCAATTGCAGCACCTGTAAGGTTTGTTAAAGGTAAAAGCAGGTCTGGAAAAGGTGCTTCGAGGAAGTGGCCTGGGAGGGGGCGAGTACACAGTATTGGACGTCAGAGGGTAGTTCTGACTGGCTGCACTGAAGATCGCTGAAGAACCAGATCCGTGTTTGAATAGGAAATGCCTGTAAGAAGGAAACAAAAATGTAGGCTATAAAAACCAAGGCCAGGTGTTACAAAAACACAATCTCCACCAATTTCAAACAATCAAATTTTGACGAAGTTCAGGAGAACTGGGAAAGGCACGAAACATTTTCATATACCTAAGATTTATCTCCAAATTACCCTTTGTGGTCTCCCTCTTGTTTTCTCAGTTAGACCTTAAAGAGGAAGAAAAAGCTTCTTTGTTCCCTGACTTGCTGGCTAGTGAATTTCTCAAACTCTGAGCATTAATATCACACATTTGATGTTATTTTTTATTCTGCTCCCATTCACTATAATACTCAAGAGTTGATTTGAAAACAGAAAGAGAAGTATCATCAGGCATTTGGTAATTTGAACAGCCTAGAAACTAATATTTTATTTAAAGATTAGCCATCACAGACATATTTTCACCCAATATTGTGTTATAGAAATTTTCAAACATACAGCCAAGTCGAAAAAATTTTATAATGAACAAACATACTCACCAACTAGGTTTCACAGTTAACATTTGATTATACTCATTTTATCACATATCTTTCCATCTCTCCATTCCTGTCTTTATCCATCAGTCCATTTTAGTATCTAAACATTTCAAAGTAAGTTGCATACATCAATATACTTCCTTTCATATATTTCCACTTGCACATTATTATCTATAGTTTAGTATTTTATAGATTTTTAATGTAGAATTTGTACATGGTGAGTTTGGCTTTTTAAGATTCCACATATAGTATTTGTTTTTATCTTTCTTATTTCACTTAGCATAATGTCCTCAAGGTTCATCCATGAACTTGTAAAAACAGAAAGTAAAATGGTGGATACCTGGGCTAGGGAATAAAAAAGTAGGAGAGATGTTTAAGGGTACAAAGGGTTGCAACTAGTAGATAAATAAGTCCTGGAGATCTAATGCACAGTATAGTGATGATAGACATTGACATTGTATAATGAACATCAAACTTACTAAGAGACTAGATCTTAATTATTCTCACCACAAAAAAAGACACGATAATTATGTGATTATGATAGAGGTGCTATAGCTAACACTACAATAGAAATCATACTGCAATATATAAATGTTTCAAATCAACGTGTTGCACACCTTAAACTTATGCAATGTTATAAGTAAATATATTTCAATTTAAAAATTATACATGATTAAATGCACACATTATAAGCATACATTTGCTGAGATTTGACAGATAAAATCACCTGTGCAAGTCAAACCCCTATCAAGATACAGAACATTACCATAACCCTAGGATATTCCCTCCTGCCTTTCTAAATAAATACCTATCCACACACACCCCCATGTGCAAGCACTATTTTGCATTTTTTTCTACAATGCATTACTTTTCCGTGACCTGTAACCTCATACTGCTGTCATTTTTGAATTACTATAGGATAATTATTGACTGCTCATGACTATTGTAATATGGCTATTTCATAAATAGTAGTGATTTATTCACATGGAAGGAGTTGCTAAAAACAAATAAATGAAAGTATTTTTTTTGCAAATACTTTATACTTACTGAGTGCTAAGTGTTGTGCACTGTGCTAAACACTCATTTTCTCAATTATTCTTCACTCATATGAAATAGGCTACATTATCCTCATTCTGCATTTAAGGGAATGGAAGCCTAAAGAGGTTGAATGCCTTGCTAAAATTCACCTAGTAAGTGAATGACAGAGTCAGAATAGGAACCCAAGTCATTCTGGCTCCAAAGTCCTTAATCTTAAATACTCTACTATGCCACCTGGGGCAGGAAAATGCACTGCTAAACAAAACACATTCTGGTGCTACATTTTAATGTACTACAACAAAAAACCCTCCACTAAGCAAAGAGCCAACAACATTTTGTACATGTAACATATGCCCCAAAGCAAAAATCATTAAGATTATTTAAAGCCTGCCTTCCAGTTTCCATTTTTAAAGAACAAAATAATATATATTTCAAGGAAAAAAGAACTCTCTACATGGCAGTTAATGAAAAATATCTGCATTACAATTTTGCTTTAGTATCATGAGGGTAAATGTTATTTAAAGGGCTAGGTTGCTGAGGGGAGTGCAGATTCACAAGCCTTTCTTGGGGGTCAATTTGGTACTATGTATTAAGAGACTTTAAATATGCATATTCTTTGGCCCAATAATTATGCGTATAAGAATTTAACTTTAGGAAATGATGTATATGACAATGCATATAAAAGTCATTCACTGCAGTGTTACTTATAATACCAAAACATAAACACCCAAATACTCAATAATAGGTATATAGTTGAATAAACAATTTTACAAACACATAGTAGAATATTATACAATCATTACAAATTGTATTGTAAAAGAATATCTGTTCACTAGGAGAAATATTTACAGATATCACCAAGGGAACAAAGGTAGGCATCAAAAGAGTATGCACAATGAGATACAATTTTTAAATTCAAAAAAGTATATATACACACCAGGAGTGCCAAAAAAAAGGTACACATTTTAAGAGATGTTATTTATGTATTACTTTTCAAAGTTGAATTGATTTATGGTAGCAATGTGCAGCATGATGTTCACTCAAAAGATGGTGTTAACTAAATGAATGCTAGTGTCATTCATTGTATTACAATTGCAATATACTTTTTCATTTCTTAAAATGCTTATACATTTTTTTGGCACCCTCTGCATGTGTTAATGGAAAAATAATAATTTGTGTTATCTGTGGATAATAGGGGTATTTTTTAAGTTTTCTGCCTTGAGCTTGTATTGCTTTTGTAACTAATAATCAGAAAGATTAGGCGTGGGGTGATTGAAAAAACTGCACTGGCTAACACTGATCACATATATAGTTGGTTCTATTTATGTAAGCATGACTTATTGAGCATCTAGAAAGGCCAAGCACCAAAGTAAGTACTTTATATGCATTATTTTGATCCTCATACATCTGTGAGTTTGATACCATTATTGTAATCTTACAGATGATGAAACAGAGACCAAAAAAGGTTTAGGAGGAGTAGAGTGGTAATTGTAGTTATCATAATAATGATAATAAGAAGTAGCATTCATTAAGTGCTTACTTGTGTCAAGCATTGTTCTAAATACTTCACAAAGCATTGTATCATTTAATCTTCACAACAACTCTATGACATAAGTACCTCCATACATATGAGAAAAACATGCACGAAGAGGTTAAATAATTTGTCCATTGTCCCCCAGCTAGTAATAGGTGAAGCTGAGTTTCAAACCCAAGCAGTTTGGCTCTAGAGCCATGCTGTTACCCACTACAATACAATATACTATACCAAGGCTATGGAGTTAGTGGGCACATTAAGATTTGAATCCAGGGCTATTAAGCCACAGAAAACATATGTTTGGTATTGATTTTAGCATGTGTATGATATTGGATTGAGCCGTGCTTTTTACCCTGTTTCTTTGGGACCAAGGACAAAAATGTAAGAATGATGGCAAAAGAATCAGAGTTGGAAGGGATCTCAGAAATCATTTAGTAATCCAGCACCCTCATTCTGCAGTTAGGGAAACTGAGGCCCAGAGAATATGTGGATTACTTAAAAGTAACATAGGTAGTTAAAAGTATGAATGAACTTGGAATTGGAGACTTCCAAAATAATGTATTTTCATTGCCCTATGCTACCTGCCAACCGGTCGTCACTGGACTAACACCAGGTTCTAATCTCCTGAATTAATTGAACCAGGCTAAACAAAAACAATCTGTTCTAACAGTACTACACAATATGTCTATTCTTCTCTGTGTCACATGTTCTTATGGTAACTTTTAAAGACCATCTTAACTATTTTGAATGAATGGTGAAGCATTACAAAGAAGCTACCCTTTAGTTGTTAAGAACCTGAATGAGTCATTGCTCCTAAAGGCACCTAAATTTATCCCCAGAATGGGGAAACAATATGTAGTAGAAATAAGAATACCTATATTTTATTGAAATACTGACTCACAGCATTATGCACCTTTTGTTTGAATGCACTTCCTCTTTAGGCCCTGAAATAATCTCCTGCATGCCATAAGAAAGTGCATTTCTTTAATGTCTGGTTAGCTCCCCCAGTCTGTGTTTTCCCCTTTGGGCATCTAATTGACTAGAGGGCAAAAAGCTTAACACTGTACAGACATCATAGTGGAGTAGCTTTCCCATCTCCCCACCCTTGCCCTGTGTTTACACTGGAAGAATGAAAATGCCACTTACATAAAACTGATCCTATACAGCAACAATCTGATATGTTCCTATAAGATAAAAGAAAGACCCAGCAGTATGGGGCTCTTTTATTCAATGTTCGAAGGTAAAATCTTCAATCCTTTGCACATTTATGAAGAAAAACAATTGGATTTTTGAGACATCGTAAGTTACCCAATATGTTGGATATTGATTTTGTTTGGTATATCATTAAGAGGTAGAAGAAAGATAAAGAAAGATAGCATTGTTGGCTATGAGGATGGCAATTACAAGCAATAATCAATATCCCTGAGCACTGTAATTTCATCCTGATATACACCAAAATATTTCCAAATGCAGTTTTATAAGTAAAATATTACAGCATAATGAATAAATTCAACAGTTGCAGCAGAGCAACATTTAAACTAATTCATATTTGAATAGAACCCAAATCCATCCTCAGTGAGGGGAGATAATAAAATGAGTTCATGGTAAGATTGTTGGATGCAGATAGTAATGGCAGCAGTGAGGTGGGTTCCTTGAGTTCTCCCTTGGAAATTACCACAAATTGAATAGCTATAACTCCTCAAAGGAACCTCTGCTCATCACACAGAACAGCTAAGAGACTCGCACAAAGATCTCCTGAAGGTGAGCAAACCGGGCAAGTGGGGGAAGAGGGAAGGGAGGCATGCAGAGACACAGGGCCCCAGGAAGCAGATGGGAGATTATTACAGCAGCAAGGTGATGGGATCCTTCATTATGCCCCACAGTCCTGCGGATAATTCAGCATAGAACACGGTGGTGCCCAGCATCC